GATATTAGAAATACAGCGCCATCTGTTGGTGACAATTTGAACTAAAATGTATGTTATGCCCTTTCCCTCAAGGAAAAAATTTTCCACCTCTGTAATAAGTCTTTAGGGCCAAACTTGCATCTGATACGCCAGCTTATTTATTTTTAAATTATTAAAGATGTTGAAGAAAGTCTTTTGTTTTGTTCTGTTGTGTTATACAAAAGCATATAATAAAAGATCAGATAATATGATTTTTAGTTTTATTCAAATGAATGAACTAAAGGACTAAACCAAGATATGGCTATCTTTTTAAGAAAAAGGATACCTTTTTAAGAATTAAACTTGCTTGTATGAATTTTTCACAGGGAAAAAGTTACGAATACATCCACGCAGTCAGTCTGTTTGATAGTAGCCGAACTACCAGCGTTCCAGTTGTCTGTCCTACTCAGCCATTAAACTTAACAAATAAATAAAAATATGTCTATCCTGTTAAAATTGTGAGAACATTTTTCAGTTGATAATTGTAAACCACTTTCATATATTTGCAATGGAAATTATTCACTAGGTCGCAATTATCATAAAATAATTGTTACTTAAATCCATAAATTAACTCATGCGATCTTTTCTGTGATGTTTTTTTAAAATTTAAAGTTCGTTACAAATGCTAGTGAAACTGTAAAAAAATTACTATGGAAAGTTCTTCGAAAGAAACGTATTTTCGTCTTGAAATGGTGCTGTAATTTAGCAGCCTCTTTTGCAGTGCAGCATGGTTAAATTTATTTTCGTGATACAAGATAAAAATGTGGTTGATATTCCACCTAACCGTATTCAGATTTATTAGCATAATTAATTCTATTTAAACGACTTGGAAAACCTGTTTTGAAGATGCAGAGAGCCTTGAAAGAAATGTTAAAGAGATTTAATTTGCATTTATATTAAAAATGTAAAGACCAGTTTTTTAAAATTTAATTTTATTCAATATTTTTAATTCAGGTTTCAGAGAATTTCAAAATTCAGCGTTATTTTTAGGAGAAAAGAGGCGCTGTGAAGGCAAGTTTAATACTGAAGAATTCCTTTCAATAAATTTTTATGTATATGCAAGTTATAAGGTATTTCTCCCACATGCCTTTGTGGTGTAGTGGTCAGCATGCTCGGCGCGTATTCGGGAGAACCGTGATTCGATTCTCGGCGAGTGGCAGGGCTAACTTTTCACGTCTCCTGCTTCGAAATAACCTAATGTTATCATAAAAAATGATCAACAAAAATTATTAAAAAAAATGATCATTTAGGTTGTGAAAATGACGTCACAAATTTTTAATATGTTAAACTGTAATTTGTGGTTTTCTTTTAAATATACGATTTAGTCTTTTTTTTTTAATACATTATTTTTTTTTCAAAAGTAAATTATTGGGCTTAAAAATTAAATTTTTCCTTCTATGAGCGGAGAAGTTATCTCAAAAGTGATCCAATACTTACTCTTCTATCAAATATAAAAAAAATAAAGACATATATTCAAAAATAAAATTTAAATATACTATTGGATTATTATTAGCTATTAAGACACGGTTTTATCGTTTTGAGCGTAGAATTTCTACTTATTATTCACGTAGAATTTTATCTTCTTACTTAATATATTTATTATTTTCCAATCACACTGCATAGCTAATTTCAAATTTTGCTTCAAAAAATACTTTTTTTCGAATTTTACATTCTACCAGCCACTTGCGCTGTTAGCTGCCAATAAAAGTTATTATTGAAAAAAAAAATTGAATTTGATGAATTTTGTTAATTAATAACAATAAAGATAAAGAACTGAGTTTATTGCTTTTAAATTGCTAATTTTGCTAATCAGAATTAAGTTCGGACGAAACATAAAGAATAGCTAAAAACCAAATTCGAAACTCAAAATTCGGGCTTCCAGGTGGACATGTTCGTATGAGGTGTACGTGAGTTTAAAATTTAATGGCTCTAATTGCCGTCGTTTTTTCACAATGCGAAGAAAAATCAGACATGCAAAAATACACATGTATACATAAATTTAGGTTTTTCCATTAATTTATATACATACACTGTTCGTGAATGAAAACAAAATGTAATGAAGTGATTTCTTCAAAATTCTATTTAAATTATTCCCCCTTTTTTTAAATTTAATGTTAAAACAATTTCTTATATATATCTTGTACATTCTTCTTGTATATCTTGAACATTTTTCCAGGTTTCACAAACTAATTAAAACAAGAATATGCAAGATTGTGTGATTGTATATCTTGCATATTCTTGCATGTTTAACAAATTAACTAAAACTCTCAGAATTTTACAATTTAGGCTAGGGTTTCTTAAACTGTGGGTCGTGACTCCCAAGGGTGTCGCGGGACCTGCAGCAGGGGGTCGCCAAAAATTTTAGCAATTTTGATATTTCTATAACTTAATATAATAACTTTTCAATTACCAAATATTTTTTACACCAATGTATCTGAAATATATAATGATAAGACAATACAGACAAAGAAGAAAACGAAAACGTTTCGACGCATTCTTTTTATAATATAAACGTTCATTTTCCTTACTTTGAACGTGACGGTGTCATTTCGTCTGTTACTTATTTAAAATTTTCACATTGTTCTATGTCTTAAAATTAGAAATTAAAGATAATGACCTGCAATAGTATATTACAGTACGAATGAAAAAATTGACTTCACTCACGCGTGTGTCAGATTTATGCAATACTAATGGGGTCCCAAAAATTTTTCTAAATATTATGGGGTCCTGGGGGTCACAAAAAAATCTCAATAATAAAAAGGGGTCGCGATTGAAAAAGTTTAAGAAACCCTGATTTAGACCATGGGATAAATCGGAAAAAAAAATGCTTTAAATGAACTTTGTGTGAAATTTTTAATGTAACTTTTTATTTTTTAGCGATTTATCTACTATTTGAAGTAAGATGTTTGACTATTTGAAGTAATTTTGGAAGTAAAAGAAACTATTTATTATTGATAAACGGACTTTCAATTGAATAATTTGATTTGTAACTTACCATTCAGACTAAAGAGATGAAAATAAAGTAATTTTAAATAAATTTAAAAAGTTCTTATAAAATTAACTTTTATTTAAAACTCATAAAATAAATAAGGAAATAAAAATATAATTTATCATCAATTTCATGGTAAAAAGTGATTAAGTAATTCTCTTTAAAAGTCATCTATAATTTTATATCACGAATAATAGAAGGGTGGGCTTCTCAAATAAGGAAATATGTGAATGAATTCCGTTGTCAAAGCAATTATCCGTGTAAATTTATCAAAGGTATGCCAAGCTTTTATTATTCTTGATATGAAATTGTTGATTTTGTAAAGAGAGTCAGTTAATCTCTTGTACCCATGAAATTTATGATAATTATTTTTTCTTAAGTTTTAATAAAATCTTAAGAAAATTTGTTTTTAATTTTTAAGTTCAGTGTTTTCTAGTTTTGAAAAATATAAGAGGAGGACTAAATAAACGTGCATTTCAAAGAAAATTACGTTTTCAGTTTTATGTTTTTAAATTTTTAAACTAAAAGTGTTCTCTCATTTTTAGAGAGAAATACTGTACTTACCTTCTAAATGACTTTAGGGTAAAGTAATGGGGAAATACCTTTTTATTTATTTTCATTCATTTATTTATTTTCAGATTTTTTCTTTTGCTTGTATATGCTGCATTAACCTTTCGCCACGATGATAACATCCGTTTATTTTAGTTTCTGGTTAGTAGGTTACATAAATATACTTTACTTCATGATTTGGCCTCAATAAGAACTGGCTTAAACGTGGAGAAATGTCTTTTAAAAAAGATGTTACGTGAAGAAAAGGTTACATAAAAGTGTTAACGACCTTCGACTTATGAATATATTTGTGATCAGATTAACTCTCGTAAAAACATTTTAATGCTCCGCGTCAGACGGAATTCAGAATTTTTATTATATTTTCATGTATGCAAATAATAATGGGGACTGAACAAGAAGAGAAACATGTTTTAACTATATTTAAACATGATTGTTACGAACGTGAAGAATTTTTCAAAATACCAAAGTACGAATATAGTTCAACTTGGACCTATCGCTTTTTAATAGGACTGTCCTTTAGCTTCTTAGTGGAATTTTGCATCAATTCAGAACATGACTTTTCATGATATAAAATGCTTTTATGGTCTGTATCGCTTGGGCATCATATCATTGCATACAAACATCCATGCAGAATCAAACTTGAGCCCATCGGTATGACAATCAGCTCAGTATTTTGTAGCCACTAACGCCTGAGCATAATAATTTGTATAGTAACCACTTTTTTCGAACCTTAAAAACTAGCAAAGTAAAGAAAGTAATATAAATAAATAAACTTGCAATGAAATGGCACGTAAAGGGACGCCAATAACGCAAACATCGGAGCTTAAGGCTTCGTGTGAAGCGTTAGGAAATATTGCTACATTTATAATTTAAGAAGTTAAAACAAACAATAAGTAAATACTCCAGTTAATTCCCCCCCCTCGAAATGCTATGCCGAGAACAAAATTTAGAAACAATTAAGTATAGTTCGGGGAACTATGGATGAGACAAAATAAGTAACTCAATTTTTATACTGAATTTTATTCGGGGCTCATAATTTTAAAGAAGTTTAATAATGGATTTTTTTTTACAGAATTCTGTAAGATATTTCGTATTCTGTAAGATATTTTCTTTTATATTGGAAACTCGATATAATTTCCAATATAAACTGAATAAAGTTGATATGTTCAAATTTTGCTGCAATTTGATATATTTAAATATGGCTATGGAATATCATACAACAGTATATGAATTAGAATAAAATGTAGGTATACACTAATACTCAACGTAAACTGAAATATAATACCTGAATAATGTATTGTGCAATTCAGTTACATGTTAACGATTAGACTTCACTTGTCCATTTGTCTGTTCGAAATACGATTGCTGTAGCAAAATATAGATTCTTTTTACTAGTTTAACTGTAACTCTCTCTTCTTTTCAGGTGCGGTGCCAGCAACAATTCATCGATGATGAAGAAGAAGAATTCACGCCGATCGGTAAGCCATAAATTATTGTTGTGCGTATTTAGTTTTATTATGCGATGGCGTGTCGGCTGAACAACCATTTTAGTTTGACAGAACCTCTTGTTGAGTAATGGCGTTTCGAACAATAAAACTCTAACAATCTCCGCCACTGAAGTTAGCTGTTGACGTTATGTATCATAGGGCTTTTCGTTTTGTCTGTTCGTTACGAACTGAAACTCTTACTGAATGTGATCTTGGGTTCTAAAAATATGCATTTATTTTTGCTTTTGCGGTTTCCTTGCATTTCTTTTCTTACAATGCGGACTAGTACTCAATTAATACTATTGTGGAATGTGAAGGAATTATTTATAAAAATATAACATTATTTTTTTATTTATTGTGATAGATAATCAGTGCATTAGCAAATTTTTATTCCCTATTTTCTGACAGAATCTAATCGATTCGGAATGCAAACAATAAAAGTCTGACTTTTTATATGCGATCTCGTTAAATGTAATAATGCTTGAATTTTATATTTTGCTGAACAACAGATAATTGGTACTATTTTAAAGATTTTACTTTATTTTGACCCTAGCTAAAAATTTAGTTCCAGCTAAAATTACCAGCCAAAAATTTAGTTCGATTTTGCAATTAATTATTCACTCGCTATTAGTAGATTTAATTATGTATTTCAACAATTTAATATGACTGCTGAATTTTCTATTACTTAGATAAAATTAAATGCTTCAAAGAAAGATGCGACCTCGAGAGTCACTTCTTTTGTATTTTATATTTTAGAATGAATATAAAATTTCCCTAAATATAAGTATGGATTTCATAACTTTTATAATTGTTATTTATTTATTTATTTTTTATATATCTATTTAAAATGCCGAAACATGAATACTTGCGTCATTTGAAACATTTTTGTAGCTCGAAATATATGTCTACTACCAATCGTTACGAAAATAAAGGTCAAGAATGGACTGTTGCGGTGATGGTTTGCATTTTTTTGTTTTCTTAGTAGAAAATAAATGTGAACATTGCTGATACATATTGCTTACGTTACCCTAGTTGTACTTGTATGTGAGACGTATGTGATAATTATAGATATTTCTTATTATCTTCCTTAAGTTACGAATAGGTGCGACTGTAGCTGATATATGTTTTTGTATTTTACAAAGAAGTATCAGCGTAACTAATATACATTTTTTATGTTTTCTTAGTTACAAATAGGTGTGAGCGAGGCCAAATGATCATAGAGGTGACTACGTCACAACCCTTCCGAGGCATCATCCACACACGAGATTACAGAACGAGGGAGTGTGCAGCGCATGGACAAGGTGGACGCACTACCACCCTCACTCTGGACCTTCACGCTGACAAGGATGATCCCCGATATTGCGGCGTACAAGTCAGAAAGGTAAACAGTTTCTAATCTTTTGTCTTGCGCAGTTAACACTATTCATACGAAAATAATTTCAGAAGCAATATGTAGTTTGCAGAGTCATTAGGTTATTTTGAAGCAAGAGACATGAAAAAAGAGCAATGCCTTCGCCGGGACTCGAACCTGGACCTCTCGAATACGCGCCGAGTGTGCTACCGTTACGTCACGAAGGCATGATGGAAGGAAGGAGAAAATACCTTATAAGTTAATGTGCATTCAAGAAAACGAATTCCACATAATTTAAATTTCGGGAAGCACTCAATACGAATTATACATCGTAATCAGAGCAACTTGAGCGCACGTTCTTGATCATATTTGTGCCATTTTACATCTTTATGACATCACAACTGATGAAAGAGAATTACTTCCATCATGTTACATGCTGAGGACAGCAAACGACAGCGAGAATGCGGTGTGTCCAAAATGAAAACCCAACTCAGAAGATTTAAGTTTGTTTTATTTTATCAATTTTGCGTTTCGTTTTGGAAATTTGAAAAATACCATTGATTTAAGCGTTCTGCAAGTAGCTGAGTCACTGGCGTTACGCAAGAATCATATTAATATGCATTAATTTTTTAATTGACGCAATTTAGATAACAGTATTAATTAGTAATTTACTAGCAGTTATAATATATAAGACAGAAAGGGAAAAATCATATTAAAAAAGAGAAATAAGGAACTATTGCAATTTATAGTAGGAATTCTGAATTACGTTATTTTATCGTAACACACGTTCGATTTTTATGTGTATACTTTTATTGTTATGTGTATAACTTATGTGTATACTTTTATAAAACGAAATTCTTTTTCTTTAATTTTGATTTTTAATATTGCTGTTTCGTACAGATGCCTCTCCACATTAGCGGAGATTATGGTTAGCAATGGTCGGAGAATAATTAAAATTTCTTCCTCTCCCGAAATCAAGTATTTGCGGAGCTAATCTAATTTAAAAATCATGCAGTAGGAAAAGAATTTAAATATCAGAAATATTAAAGGAAATTCGGACAGAGAACGTTATTATGTCGAAAAAAAGATCATGGACTTTAGAAAGAAAAGGATAAAAGGAAGCATGAATTTTCATAAGATCGTAGATCACAGACTTGTAAGTTTTTACAATAGTCGGCCAAAGTTTATCGTAATCTGATTAACATAACCCACTCCCAAAGTGCATTTTATCAGAGAAGGTATGATTTATCGAGAACGTTGCCATTAGCGAAGCCAAAAATCGCTCTTTTTTGCTGTAAAAGAAGTGTATATGGATTGCTAAGAAGCAGTAATGACAACCGGGCTTCATCCTTGATTTTTTTTTTTTTTTTTTCTTTTTAATGAAGGAAAGTGTAACACTTTCACATCCCAGTAAAACCAAAATAAGAATAAATAATACTATCGTTAAAAAACTTGGTCAAAATCACTTACTAAATTTTAAAAAGTGCAGAAAAATTACTAATTAAATATCATTATTAATCATAATTTATATTATTGTAATATCTACTTGTTTACCTTTTGGTGTGACAGCTGAAGTACGTGTAGGAACCAGACAGGGAAAGGATTAAAACTCTTTAACATTTCCAATAGGTCGACTTGAGGCTAACAAACTACGCCTCGCTCGGGCAGTAACTTAACTAGACTAAACTAAAAATTCAAAGATATTAACAAACAGTAGAATTACTGTACAGGGCTCAGATAATCCTGTTACCTAAAACCGCATCGAAGTCTCGTGGCAGCCAAGTACAGTCTGTCTATCATAAGAAAAGCTCTCGCCAATTAGTCTGCAGCTATCTGTTGCCGTAGAAACGAGTCTTGACCCATTTTCCGTAGGGGTGTCTTGAAGACGAATGATAACTTCTTTTCCCCCCAGCAAACAGTCGCTAAAAACAAAATAGCAATAAAGCAATCCTTGGTTCGCCCCTGTTTGAAATATATTAGCCGTCTTGCTATAGCGACTGCTACCCGCCAAACACAGTGGCGAGAGTTCGCGTAAAAAGACAGTAAGAGCTGTTACACCACTTCACCCAACAAAAAAGCAAAATCAGAAGCTCACACTACAAAGGTACAGTGCTTGCCCATACTCTCTAACTTTCCCTTCTAGAACTCAGTATTTAAACCTTTTCTCCTAAAGGTAGAATTTGCATTTTTTCACGCGCGCTACCAAATTTAAATATTCTGGTGTGATGTGATACTTAATTATGGCAAAGCACACTAGGGCTATCTGCCTAAGGGGAGGGATGCCTTTCGTGGAGGACTTTCTAAGGGAAACTGGCTCGTATACACGTTACACACGGGGAAAACCATGAAAACGCCCATGCAGCCAGCCCGTTCGCGGGATTCGAACCTCGGACCGAACTACCAGTGTTCAGCGTCTTTACCGCTCGGCCGCTGGTGGGCCTAAATATTCTGGCATTGATAATTAGGGGAATGAAGGCTTATAGGAAAGAAGGTATAAACTTAAACTTAACTGGCTATTCAAAATAAATAGAAATCCCTGCAGTATATCAGGAAGTATTTGAGAAGCGGTAAATCTGATTGATGCAAAAACTATCAAAATATGTGTTTTCGAATAAATTAGATCAAATTTATAAATAGAAATATTTCGAAGTTAATAATCTTCTTGGCATTTTTTTAATAACGGAAGTAAAATTTAAAATAAAAATAAATTAACGGCTCTTTTTTAATCATTCCATTAAAGAGATATTTTACTATTTTCCCGACCGTTTGACCCAAATCCGAATGACATCCTCTCCACATTAGCGAAAATGTCATTAAACTGCAACTTGTGTCGAGTCACCTGGAGATGTAAACTAATTCTTGCGAGAATGAGACATGACGTCAATATTCTCGTTAAGAGGATTTCGCTGCTTTGGGACATACTTAGCTGCTGTTACTAATTTCGCCAGCAAATTGCTATGCGTTTGTAATCCCAATGAGTCGTACATACTTTCATTTTTACTCAGATTACCAAGTTAATTCTTTTCCAGGGTAAACTAGGTAATTATGGTGGGAAGATATGAAAGTGTATCTACAGGAAAATCCTTTATAGTAGACGATTACGCGATAGTGTTAGTATAAGTATTTGTTCCTTTGAACGCTCTGTTCTTCAAAAGCTTTCTTTGTTTTTCGAAACTACTTTTTTGTTTTAAAATTGCTGTGAAACACTTTTGATACATGCTAACTGAATTTGATACTTTCTAAAAGGATTTCGTTTTAAATTTCAGACTGAAAGAGTGTCATTTAGGTTTGAAACACATTTTTAACTTTCCAAAACAGTTTGCGGCTTCTCTTTTGCTCAGAAAGATTCCTTAATTTTGAAAATTTGACGTCTTATTGGTTCATTTGATTTGACCATCCAATGTGAATTAAAAAACATAATTTTTTTAAACATAATATTTTTTAAGCAAATACAAATGAAAAATCGTGAGAAATGTAAATACACATGCACAAATGCTAAAGATCTATTTTTGAATTGTTAATTATAAATTTCAAGGTCTAAGCTCATAATAAATGCGGTTTTAAAATTAAAAGGGGGTTTGCAGTGAAATGAGAACAGAATACCGAAATATGAACGCCACATTTTTTGGAATATAATTTTAATCAGAGTAATATTACCAAGCATCCTAACAAATTTTTATCCAAAACAAACGCATGCAGATAAAGATGCAACCATAATTCATTAATAAACATCGGTATAAAAAATTCTGAAATCCAACTTAAAATGAAAATACCAACTGTGATAGCCCTGGTATTAAAGCAATGATTTCTGTAACAGTTTCATTCCATTTTTTAACACCAGTACTCAGAACTGAAGATTAATTAAATCCTTATGTAATATACAGCAGAAAATATAATACGTTTGGAAAATCTGCAAATACAGGAACGTAGAAGAATATATGATGGTAGACAGCAAGCAATGGTGAATGAAAACCTCACGGAATGCTGCATTTCTTACACTTGTTATTCTCTGGTTAGTATTTGCTGAATACTAAGTTTACTCTGACGTGCTAGTCTTCTCTCTTGGTTTACTGAATACTTTGTGCAGTTTGTTTATTTCTTAGTTGAGGACTTGAGTTATACCACTGAAGAATCGAATGGATGGCATTTAATGTTAGAGATCGATAAGTTGCACGAAAGTAGGCCGTTTCAGACAGTTCTCGAAGTGCTCGTCCAAGGCATATAATAAAGTAACCTAAAATCGTTTCTTAAAATTTCGGAGCTGACTTGATTAAATCTCGCCGTAATAGGTAGAATTGAAGTGATGACAATGAATGCTTTCTCAGGCAACGTGATTTGCTAAAGATTTATCTCATGAGGTGTTCTGAAAACTATACACTACAGCCCTGTCTCCTATGGTTGTTTCAAGATCGTAGCAGCCATAGGAAACATCTTATAGAATATAATCATGAGATGAATCATTATGCTACAATCATGAGATGAATCTTTATATCTGACTGACTGGAAATTGTGTTCCTCTTTCTTCATCAGTAAGATAATAATTTCTTATGTGTAACCGTCATCTGTAAGTCTAAACAGTGCTATATGTCTAACGTAACTCAATCTCATAAATCAGTTATAAATAAATCAATCAGTGCAAATCAGTTTCATAGTTAGACGCCCAATTAGAATCATACAGATCTCCATTAAATCATGACTTAGTATAAATAAAGGTATCCATCTTATTTACCATCTCATTTCGAGCCCAAGTTCGATTAACCTTGTCTGATTTGCGTTAGAAAATGCCATTGCAGTTCACCAGAGTGTAATTAGGAGCGTATAGAGCTTTAACCGATACTTCGAAAAGAGTGGGCGTTACTTCCGCTAAGAATTTAAATCAACACTTACTAAAACAGCATGGATATTCGCTCTGAAAGCCTGCTTTATATGATATAATCCCCCCCCCTGCAGGCGAACATAAGTCATCTTAATGTATCATGAAATTTGCATGAATTATACCTGTAATCTTCCTGTTTCATCTGCATAAAATT